CAGGTCCAGTTGGTGCTCGTTGTCGACGGGGTTGGCGACAGGGCCGTCGCCGTCCTCGGCGGCAGGGGCGGCGGCACGAAAGGAATCGTTGTGACCCGCGGCCGAGGGCGTGCCAAGCGAGTTGGCGCGGTGCTGCTGCTCGGCCTGCACGAGTAAGTTGAGCGCCTGATGAAAGAGTTCCGACTCTTGCGCAGACGGCGGCGCCGGAGCATGGAGCAGTGGCGCATCGACGGCGGTGGTAGCGGAAGCGGGGGCGGCGTTGCTGCTGCTAGCGTTATCGGTGTCCTCGTCGTTGTTTTCCTGCTGTTGCTCGAGCGTACGCGGCGTGGCCATGGTCTCGTTTTCGTCGTCGCCGTCGAGCTCGGCGACCGAGTCCTGCTCCGTGTCGGGCGCGAGCGAGATCGAGTCGGCAAGCTGGTGCGGCGTCGTCGGCGATGCCGGGGAGCCGTAGACGGTGTGGTACTCGGACAAGACGTGCAGCGGGGCGTGGCGAGCCTGCGCGGGCCAGGCGGCGGGTCCGAGCGAGCTGAGCGAGTACTCTGAGTCGGACGGGCGGCGGCCGTCGTGCAAACGGCGCAAGCGCTCGGCCATGGCCGCGGCAGCGCCGGCAGAGAGCGGCGGGGGCTTGACGGGGGCCGTGCCCGGACGGTGCGTGGCCGGCAGCGTCGGCGGCGAGGCCAGGCCGAGCGTGTGCGCGACGGTCGCGGGGGTGACCGTGTCGAGTTGCGCGGCCGCGGGCTCCGAGGCGGTGCGCAGCGGCGTGTGGAGTGCCGGTGCCGAGCGGCGCAAAGACGAGTTCATGCGGCGCAGCGAGTGCCGGCGGTCGAGCGCGTGGTCGAGCAGCGCCGACGCGACGCGCACGGCTTCGTCGGCCGGGTCGGTGGTGGTGGTGGTGGTGGTGGTGGTGGTCGTGGGCTGCGCGTCGGCATCGGTGTCGTTGCCGGACTGGTCGTTTTTGGCGTCGGTTTCTTGGTCATCCTCGGCTTGCGGCGGGTCGAGCACGACAACGGCCTCGTCGGACAGCGTGCGGTCGGCGTGGGTGGTTCCCTTGGGCGGCAGCGGCGGGAGCGAGCGCGCGAGCAAGGCGTCGACGATGGGCAAATGGACGTAGTCGACCTGGTCGAGGTCCATGGTGGCGAGCACCGTCGCGCGGCGCGGCGGCAGCGGCGGGCGGCGCGAGGGAGCGGCCATGGCGTACGCGGTGCAGGTGCGGGTGCGGGTGCGGGCACTGCCGGGGCTGCTGCTGCTGTTGCTGCTGTTGGCCGCGGAGCCAGGCCGGGTCGTGGCGGTGGCCGTGGGCGGCGGGTTGGCGTGTTGGCGTGTTGGCGTGTTGGCGTCGGAGAGAGAGAGGGAGGAGACGGCAACGGGTGCAGGTGCGCGCGCGTCGCTCCTTGGCCCTTTGCCCGCGGATGAAGTGCCCAGGTCGGAGGCGGGAGGCGCGCGAGTGACTCGGCCGCCGCGCGCGCCAGGGAGCCGGTTGCGGCGGTTACGCCGCGCGCGGCCAGGTTACGCCGCCGGCCTGTCGAGACATGTGACCGCGACGCATCCCTGCCGAAGCCGCAGAACCGGCGGCCACGGCCTGGCCCGCAGATCGTCCGCACCGCTCCTGCACCACCACCGCTCCACCGACCCGTCGCCCGCTGGCACCGGCAACGACGGCGGCTACGACGGCGGCTACGACGGCGGCTACGACGGCAACAACGCCGCCGCTGGCGACACCTGCCGGACTGTGGCGACCGCAGCAAGTCACCACGCGCGTCCAGCGCGCCGCGCCCGACCGGGACCGGGGCCGACCGCGCCAGGCACCGCGGCCGGCAACGGCACCAGCCGACCCAAGCAGCTGCCGCAACAACCGCGACCGCGGACGATGCCCAACTCACCCCACGCGCACCCCGTCGCGGCGCGCTCCTCGGCCGCCGCCGCGCACCATGCCAGCACCTCCGCGCCGCTGCACGCACCGCGCCGCTTCAGCTCGTCGGCCGCCGACTCGGTTTCCCCCAGTCCACATGTCGTGCCCACCACGCGTCGCGCCACGCTCACTGCCGCACCCATGACCGCCGCTGCCGTTGCCGCTGCCGCCGCTGCTGCCAATGCCGTCGCTGCTGCCGATTCCACGGCGGCCGTGTCGTCGGCTACCAGCACAGCGACGCGACCGCAACCGCCCGCCATCTCTGTCACGTCGCTCGCCGACCAGGGCACAACAACCGCGCATCACGTCGTCTTTGACCCAAACGTGACGCCCGTGCGCGGTAATTCGCTTGTCGCCGAGATCACAGCGTCCCCTCCATCGTCCCCATCAGCGTCAAGTCGAGACGATTCGCGCCCAAATTCGCCACGCCTACCGACCCTGTCTCCACCACCTTCACTTCCGCCATCGCCTCCACCCCCAACCGCCGCCAATCCCGCTTCCGCACCAGTGGCGGCCCTAGCTCCCGCGCCAACGTCGCTGACGGCACCCCCACCTATCTCCACCGCCGCCGCCTCCACCTCGGCCACAGCAGCTGCAGCCCAGCTCTCGCGCTCGCGACTCGGCCGAGCATGGGACGCCCTGATCACGGCCATCCACGTCTTCAATCTGATCCTGATTCCACTCGCCATTGGCTGGACGTGCTACTTTGCCACGCCCGGCTGGGCATTGCTCGGGTACACCATGGACGCGTGCCTGCTCGCCAATGTGGGCATCACTGCCACACGGCCTTTCCTCGACGAGTTTGGCAATCTCGTCACGCACGTCCCGACCATTCGCACGAATTATTTCTACAAGGCGCGCGGGTTCTACGAACTGCTTGGCGCCTTGCCGTTTGACTTGATCGCGTGGTACTTTTGCAACCTCGACGGCGCCTGCGTGCTCGATCCGAACGCGACCTATCTGTCGCACAGGACGCAGTACGTATGGTCGCGTTGCGCTCTCATTGACTCGCTTTACTCGAAATTCGTCGTTGATGCCGACATGATGTAGAAACCTGCCCGACATGCTCTTCCTCTGGGCCATATTACGCACCACGCGTTTTTTCTCCATGATCAACACGACCTTGTGGTTCTTCAGTGCCGAAGTGCCCGGAATCGACTTGGGCATGGCGCGCCTGCTCAAATCGACGCTTGTGTTCTTGTTCCTGGCCCACCTCGACGGCGGCTGCTTCTGGGCGTTTTGCTACCACGAAAACGACCCCGGGTCCTGGATCAATGCGACGGGGATTGGCCTCGACGCCAACAACCCAGGCCACCTGGTTTCGTTCTGGGACCAGTTCATGACCAACTTTGGCAACGTCTATCAGGTTATGTTCTTCCAGTTTCGCGATACTGCGTCGGCGCCCGAGCAGATTTATGTGCTCATTGAGCTGCTCTTCGGGTACGTTTGAAAATGCTGTGATGGGTGGGGGTGCGCCGTTGGCTCACAACGGATTTGCTCGCGTAGAATTGTCATCAACGGCATTATTATTGGCGACATTTCCGACCTGATTACGGCGCCTGGGTCCGACCAGGACGCCAAGCACAAGAAACACAAATTCCGCATGCAGCATCTCGCGCAGTACTTGCAGGACAAGCTGTTCCCGCCCGAGCTGCAGCGTCGTGGTGCCGTAGCGACCCCACCCCCACACTCCGTCCGTCTCTTGTGACCCGTATCTGACCGGACCCCTCCCCCCCCCCCCCGTCCTCCCACAGTCCTCCAGCACGCCGAATTTGAATTTCTGCGGCAGCACGGCATGGACGAAGAAGAACTGTTTGGCAAGTTGCCCAAGTCGCTGCGCGTCGATATTTCCGAGTTCCTCTACCTCGACATTGTCGCACAACTGCCCGTCCTGGGTGCGTGCGACCGCGCGTTCCAGTCGGCGGTCGCGCGCGTCATGCGCACCGTGCTCATCCACGCCGACAGTTACATCTTCCGCGAGCACGACGAGGGCGCCGAAATGTACTATATTCAGGCCGGGTGCGTGGAAGTGTTGGTGCACGGAGGGAAACGCGTTGCCGGACAGTTGAAGGCCGGGCGATACTTTGGCGAAGGCGCGCTGTTCGAGGTACGTCGTGTTGACCGGGTTTTTTTTTTTCTTTTCTCCTGTTCCCCCCATTGGATGAGCTGACCCCCCTGAGCGCGCGTAGACGTGCCGCCGCACCGCGTCGGTCCGCACCTGCACCGAGACCGAACTCGTGGTCCTTGCGAAAGCCGACCTCGACGCGGTCATTGCCACGGGCGCGTTCCACGACGTGGCCGCGCGGCTCGCCGAGGCCGCGACCGAACGTAAACGCGCCGTCGCTGCTCGACGTGACGCGGCCGCGCGGAAACGGTTGGCCGATGAGCGACGCCGGGTGGACGAACAGCGCGCCGCGATTGAAATGATGCGCATGAGATTGGAGCCGGGCGGTGGGACGCGGCGCGGGTCCACGGCGACGGCAAGGACGGCGGGGGGTGCGGGGATGGCGGCGTGGCGTGCGTCAATCACGTCGTTGGTCCAGGGGGCGCCGAAGGAGGGTGCGAGGACGAGGGGGAGTGGGGGAGGAGGTGGGAGTCCGAGTGCGACGGGGACGGCGGGGAGGACGGTGCGTGCAGGGAACGGAGGGAATGGGACGATTGCAAGCCGTGCAGGAGGGCAACACTTGACGGGCAAGCGCGGGAGCGCGGCTGGGGCGTGAGCATCGAAGGGTGGAGGCGCACGGGACGCCGAGGGACTATTTATTTCTGGGCTTTTCAATGATTTTGAAGAGTTGGACGGGCAGCTAAATGATGCGGCTGGCTTGTGTGAAGAACGGAACAAGACTCTGGCCGCGGTCACGTTGCTGGCAGCAAGGGAACGTCGCACTTTTCATTCCAGCGGGGCCGCAATGGCATTCATCTGCGGCGACCACGACAGTTAGCTGCTCGCTGCCGCATGCAACGTTTCGTTTGCCAATTTTACAAAAACCAATGCACGTAAAAGAAGGGCCGACGAGCCAGGCAGCGAGGGTGATGCAAATCGACAAAACGATACTTCAGCACGACCGCACAGAACGCTGTAATATCTGAATGTCATCGCCCAGGATCGAACTGGGGACCTTGAGTGTGTGAGACTCACGTGATAACCACTACACCACGATGACGAAGCCGAGCATGCTTAACCGCTGAGATAAGCTGCCGTTGAGAAAACAACGCCATGAATTTTTCGGATTTCAACCAGGGTCGCTCGCGACAAACCTGTTGCTCTCCATCGAATAAATCATGATGATTCGCGACCCACGAAGCATCCGAATCACAGCACGCGCATCTCCCACCACAACTCAGCGCATTCGACCGCTCTCGCTGCTGTTTGCTACTCGATCAGCTTCCCAGCATGCCAATCGCCGCCCCCGATGCCGTGCCCCAGAACCCTGCCGGCCTTGCCAAGCTGGCCGCATCGGACCACACGGACCCCAGCAAGCATGGCTTTGCATCAGCCGATTCCGCTCCGCCAGCGATCCCAACCCTTACTCCTGCGGCCGGTGTTGTCGAGGCCGCACGGTTTGCCGTACAGTACCGGCGCCCATCAGCGGACCCAACCATCGATCCCGCTGCATCGGCACGCAACGGACAAGTGGCGTCCGGCTATGGCCTGATAGCTGCGGTCCTCCCCGCCCGATCCCATGGCGCGCTATCCAATGCCGCGGGTGACGTCACGCTTGATGACTGGGACCTGGCTGTCGACGTGCACCTTCCCACGATCGACGCACAGGTGCTCGCGGTTGTATGGCTCCTAGAGGACGCTGGTGCGCTCGACGTGTTCCCGAAGACCACGACGGCCGACCTGGTCCAGTTTGTGAGCGTGGTTGCGGCCAACTACAATGCGCCTCCGTTCCACCGGTTCGCGCACGCCGTAAGCGTCGCGCAGGCGGCGCACGTCATGATGCGCGCGCTGAACGTCAAGGAGGAGCTGAGTAAGGAGGCGGTCGTGATGCTGTTGGTCGCGGGTGGTACGTGTTGCTTTGGCCATGGCTCGGACGAGTTGGGTGGTTGCTAATGTTGAATGTCCACCACGTAGTGTGCCATGATGTTGTCCGTACTCGCACGCTGTTCAGGATTCCCATTGCCAAGAGGGGCGCGCGCGCTGACGTTCGTTGTCGTTTGCGCAGGACCACCAGGGATTCACGAACATGTACCATTGCGCGACCGAGTCGGACCTCGCGACCATGTACAACAACACATGTCCGATGGAAAACCACCACGCCGGTTTGTTCTCGCTCTCACCTCCATTCTCCACCCGGTCGTGCCTGACGAAGCGTTCTTTCCCCGGCGCGGTCGGCAGCCGTCACCAACGCCCTGCTCCAATCCGAATACAGCCCGCTCCGCCACATGGACCCGGCCGCCGCGCGCCAGTTCCGCTCGGGCGTCACGCAACTGATTCTCGCGACAGACATGGGCAAGCACGAGTCGATCCTCGTGCAGGGCGCGCGCGTGCCGCCCGTCACGTCGACCGGCGAGATCGCGCAGTGGGAAGCACCGCAACGCATGGCGGTTCGTGTCCTCTATCTCCATCCTCGCTTGCGATCCTTTTGAACCGAATCATCCCGCGCATAGTTCCTCCAAGTCCTCCTAAAAGCCGCCGACCTGAGCAACGAACTGCGCGCGGCCCCCGTCGCGGACCCGTGGTCGGCCGCCCTCTACCGCGAACTCAACCACGAGCAGGACGTGCTCGGTCGGGCACGGCTCGACACGGGTGCTGCCGCGGCGGCCGCTGGCCAGATCGAGTTCCTACAACTCAAAGTGAAACCGATTGTCATGACACTTGCCACCATTCTCGGCGCGGAACGTGCATTACCTGTCGTCGATCGCGCCAACGCCGCGATCGCGCGGCACCAGCAGCGGCACGCGGCTGCGGCGGGAACGGTGAAGTCCGCAGATTCGAGTACGTCGGACTTGGACGACGAGTCGGAGTCCCGCGAGTCGGTGAGCGAAACGTTGCCGGGTCCAATGGCGGCGGGGCGCCGTGCGTCGGCGCCGCATGGGACGCGGACCGAAGGGCTTGCACGGCGCCGGTTTTCGATTGCGACGTCGAATTACTGAGGGACAGGGTGCGTGGGTAGGAACTGGCGAAGGGGTGGAGCGGGACTGAAGGGGTGAGGGGGGGGGGGGGGAGGAGGGCGGAGATGAAGGCAGGTGGAGGTGGAAACGCTATATTGTTGAACGACCGGGCAACCGTCAATCGGTCTTGGTCTTTTTCTTGGTGGGAGTAGAGCCTGGTGCGGCACTGGCCGGGATATGGTGAGCAATGTGTCGCGCGCCCTGGGAGATCAGTGCAAGCGGAACGACAATCCTACACGAGTCAAAATCATTCATCAGATTGTAAAGAACCTGTGATAGCGATGAAAGCACGCCTGTGGCTACAACGCACCACGGAAGGTTCATTGCGACCATGTAGCCCCAGAAATAGATCGGTTCCGGGCGCGAGTGCGCTGCGTCGCCCGCGAGACCCATGACCATGTACATGGCGCAACTGAACAAATGCATTGACGAAATGACGAGCTGCAGCGGCCACTGGATCGAACGGCCGCGGGCAATGGCGACCGCGCACGCGACCGCGAGTGGGCCGAGAACGACCTGGCACGTCGCATACAACGGGTGGAGAAGTAAGAGACCGACCTCCTGCAGCACACGCGATCACAATTCGGCCTGTCACGTACCACGGTCAGGGCCTCAGCCGCGACGACGGCGGGATCGTTGGCGAGATACCGCGAGTCGCCGAGCGCGTACTCCTTCCACATTTGCGCAAGGAGCGACGACGACCCGGCAATGGTCGTGCTGGTTGCAACAAAGTATCCCTCAAAGACCAGATGCAGGCCAGCGTTAAGAGTAAACCAGAGGAAGCGCAAGCGGCCACCGCGCGGTGGACGCGCGACCACGAATGCCGACACGAGCAAAGCAGCGAGGCCCGCAGCGAAACCGCCGAGAATTGACGCGTGAGAGAGGGTGTTGGGCACATAATGCGGCAGGCGCAGCGTTGCCGGGAAGTACGGATGCGCAGTCAGAAGCGGTACAGCTTCTGCGACAGGCACCGACGCGGTGCAGCTGCTGGCGCCGCCGGACGCGGAGGGGCGCCAGAGTTGGTCCATGGTGTCGAAGAAGAGAATGCTGCAAGTAATCGCACTGAGCAGCCTGCTAACGAGCTCGCGCGGTTTTCGACGCGACGTTGCTGATAGCAAGGCAGCGCCCCGTCCGTGTCTGTGATCTCTGTGGCGTAGAAATAGGCGTCGGTGCCGGCTGCGGTGCCGACGTGGCGGCCTGTTCAATCTGTCAGTGCGCCCTGCCGCGTGTCCTGCTTCGCCAGACGACCGCACCGACCCCATCGTCGCGTTCGCCCCGCAGTACCACCGCTCTCTCCAGCTGTTCTCTAGTGCCAGTCGATCCAGAACCTCCACGGAGACCGAGGTCAAGCGCACGACAGTACTCAGCACGCTGCAGCGAACGCACCAGCAACCCGCGCGCGACTGCCAGCCATGGTCAAGATCAAGCGCGTCGGCGCGTCACGTCGACATGTCGACGGCATGGCCGTACTCTTGATTGCAACCATCGCCGTTCTCTTCTCGGCACTCCAAGTTCCACTCGCTGCTGCCAACCCTGACGCCGTTGCCGCGCTCGATCCGACCGCAGGCGGCCGTGTGCCTGCGCACCGTCGGCACGAGTACCGCCACTCGCTGCGCAGGCCCTTCAACCTGCGCGTGCCCGGCACGCCGCCCAGCGCCGCAGGTGAACTGCCGCACTATTCGGTGCACGGCACTGCCGCGGTCCTGCCAGGCGACGACCCTCGCGCGCTCCGCGTCGTTCCCGGCGTTCCCCTCGCGCGGGGTCTGGTGCGCTCGGCGCGTGCCCTGTTTGATGACAGTACTACGGGCTCGCAGCTGAGGGCCGCTCAGGGCTGGGAGATGGTTGCGGCATTGCGGATTGACCCATCGGACGCGACGCGTGCGGCTGCGGCTGCGGGTCATGGGCTTGGGGATATGCCGCAGGCCGGGATTGGTGCGGCGCTGTGGGTCACGTCGACGCCGGTGGAAGTCATGACCGACGAGTTGGCGCACGAGGGGGTCGCAGGCGCGTTTGCCGTGCCGAGCCCGCACGACGGGCTGCGCGTCTCGCTCGAGCCGGTGCCGACGCGCGACCATCCCGGTCGAGTGCGGATCGCGGCCGAGCTGTCGTTCCAAATGGCTGGACAGGTGGTTGATCTCGGAGGTATGGTGCTCTCGGCTGTCTCCGCCGCTGTTGATCCAGTTCAGGAAGCTGATTGCATTTGTCGCTTGCAATAGCGTGCATGCGTGACTTCCGCGACCGCACGGGCGCCCCACCGCTGATCGCTGTCGCCTACCGCGCACGCACGCTCACCGTGCACACGGATCTCTCGGGTACCGGCAAGCAATTCACGTCCTGCGTCAGCCACGACCACGTCGACTTGCCTCGGCGCGGCGGTTTCGTGGCCGTCTCGGCGCAAAACGGCAAGACCGACCGCGCCGACATTGTCGACTTGTACGCGCTCGACGTTTACTCGCTCGACCCGCCGCCCAAGACGGCGCGCAAGCCCGACCCGGCCGTGAACCCCATGAACCCCGACCTGCCCATGGTCGACGCATCGTCGGTCTCGTACATCCCGCCGGCACTCGACCAAAAGACGGTTGACCATATTCACGAAATTGAGGCCAAGGTGCGCGCGCTCAAGCAACAGCTCGAGGATGCGGCGACGGCGGCGGCGGCCAGCAACCGCCCGGCACCTGGCGCCGCGGCGGCAGCGCCGGAGTCCGGGCACAAGGTGGACGGTGCCAGTATCGCCGCTGAAGCGTACATTGTCGAGGCGATGATCAAGAAGGTCGAGGACCGTGTCACCGAGGCCTCGGCCGAGATCGCAACTATCAAGGCTTCGCTCAACGACGTGCGCGACCACATGGTAAGACGCATCGCGCACATGGAGGCAGCATTGCGGTCGTACCATGCCGCGCTCGAGTCAAAACTCGGGAGTATGGCACAGCTCGCGGATACGCGGCATGCCGACAATTTGCGCGGGCACCAGGACACGGTCGCTACGATTCGCGTGGCTATTGACGATGCGGTGCGCGCCGCCGAGCTTCGGGCCGCGCAGCAGGCG